AAATCATTTCAGTGAACATTTTTTCACTAATACACAACATCAATTTGCTTAGTAAAAAATTGAGTATTTGTATTACCTGTTTATCCGATTATTTTCACGGATCATCAAGTGAGTCGATACTTTTTTTAGGGGAGTGTATATTAAAAGTGTCTTTAATACATCTTTTAGATATTGAAGGTTTCTGTAAAGTAATGTTATACCCTTTGATTTTGATCTCTTCCTTCCCCAAAAATTCAGTTTAATAAACTTGAGAAAGGACATTTAGAAGTTACAGTTACAGTTATGTTACAGTAACAGTAATTACAGTTACAGTTATGGTAACAGTAACTGTAACTTCTTACAACAAAACATTTCCCATGCAACCAAACATTTCAAAATTGGGTAAAGTCATTAGATTAGGGAAACATACAAAAAAGGGGAAATATCACACAAAATATAAAAAATCTACAAAATATATTTTGTAACATATGTACATACATATTATCCATATATTCATATATATATAACTATTATTATCATTATGGCTCCAAAGATTCCTTGTATTATCTATTTAATTGAGGAATGAAATTCCTTCCTTTTTTTTTTAATTTTAAAATCACACTTTTATATATACATATCCATTCATCCCTAATTCATTCCTTTCCTTTGAATTTTGAAATCATCACTTTATAAATAATTTTTGTAAATATTATATTATATGTTTTTTAATTATTATTTTAATGTTTCTTTAAGCTATAATTTAATTATGAAAAAAATATTATTATAATAAAAATAAAATAATTTTCCTATCATTTACCAGTTTTATACATTGTAGATTGTAGATTTATTATTATATTTTTAGCATTCCATCAAAACCCATGAAGAAGAGATTAATGAATTGTTATCACTATTACGATTATGATTACCATTACCATTACCATTAATATTTTTCTTGTTCCCCACTTATGATACTTATAAATTTTTGCGCTTTATCAACATATTGTCTACTCCTGTCAATTATCTTTAGTAGTTTTTTAATACCAACATTAGGGTTTGTATTCACGGATACCATGAATACCGTTAAGGGGGTTACACACTAATAAATCAGCAAAAAATCCCTTAAAAACACTTGATTTTAATAGTATGTAACCCTGTGTGACCTCCTTAACCAACATCAATATTAATATTTTTTTTTTAAGAGTGACAAGTACTTTTTTTCATTCAACATCATTATACAATAATGTTTCTTTAAGCACTTGTTCAATTGAAATCAAATTATCAACATTTGGCACTTTGATTTCATTATCAAAGCAATCAGACATACCCATTTGTTTGGGAATAGATTCTCTACTAGTGGTTGTTAAAATCAAAAGGTGTCGACCCTAGGGAATTCAGATTTAGTTGATTAGCTTTGACTTATTGAGGAGGTATTTTAAAAGGTTTATATTTCATATATTAATGACTACTTACTTTAGGTGGGCTTTTTTTAAGTAAAACTAATAATGCCTGTAAGACAGGATTTGAAAATCTTGGACCAAGAGGTATCCAATCTATATAACATATATGAGTATATAGTAAATAAGGAGTTTGATAAAATCATCTATTTGTAAACATTTTTTAAAAAAAGGTTGATATACCTATCAATCTTTCAATATTATCTACAACTATGACACTTAAAGATGATTTGTAAGAATCATTAAATACCTAATAAATCATATATTCATCTTAATTTTTATCAAAAAAGCTTCAATCAATAAAGCAAATAAAAAAAAAATACTTTGTTTATTGCAGCCACTTTAGCCGATTCTGAATATCCAATCATATTTTCTGGGGAAATTAATTTGATGAAAGGAAATCCTGATGACAATGCTATTCTAGTGATGTTAGCCGGCTAATAATCTGCATACATAATTTCTAAATTTGGTAATAGATTTCCGTATTACCTTCTGGTTATAGAAATAGAATTACCAATTTAGGTAGTAAACGGCTTAGCCGGCTAAGGATTTTTAAACGGCTAACATCACTATGCTATTCTGGCAGCCAATGCTGTTTTACCACTGTCAGTAGGTCCTAATAATATATATATATATATTAAAATAAAATAATCTAGATTGAAATAAATTTCATCATTATATCATATATAAAAAACTTTGATACCATATAACAGAACACTGACAAGTGTAGTATTAGTAGTGCTAACTTGTTCAACAAAAAGTTTTCCATATAACAATATCCTCTAACAAATAAAGAATAGATACATTAACATCATTAAAGAAAACATATTAATGGGTATTGAGGAACCTTAATTATATTTTAATTCTTACATTTACATGTGATGCAAACGGAATAATTTTATTTTGGGTATAGCATTGTAATTCTTCATTGCCGACACCATAAGCTGGACACACTTCATTCAATGCCTCTAGGAAATCATCTCTATTTATTTTCATGTTTTCAAAATCTGGTTTTACCCCTGTGAGTGTTCCTACTTTGATATGTCTATTAAATGCAAATGAACTAGCACTCTTAATAAGTCCACTGATTTCTGCACCACTAAAATTTTTGGTTAAACTAGCTAATTCATCTAGATCAACATCAACATCAACATCCAAAATATTATTTTCTTTCATCTAAAATTCAAAAAGCAAATAATAATGTCCACTCACTTATTTCATTTATTTTTTACTTAACAAATAATATTTATTTTTTTACCTTTGAAGTATGAATTTTTAATATTTGTAATCTTCCTTGTTCATCTGGTAAGCTAATTTCCATGTGAACTTCCAAACGACCTTTTAAAAATCAAAAAAATATTCATGATTAAAAAAAAGTTATTTTTATTTTTACACAGATAAATAATATAATACTAACCAGGACGAAGTAATGCCTCATCAATCATATCCAATTGATTAGTCATACCAATGATTAATATATTATTCAATTGTTCAACACCATCCATCTATATAATTAAAGAATCATTTCCTTAATAAATCAATAATAATAATATTATTATTAATAAAAAGAATAAAAAAATGAACCTTTGCTAATAACTGGTTTACAGTACTATCACCAACACCAGTTCTACTAGTTCCACCACTACCACGTTGCTTACATATAGCATCTAGCTCATCAAATATTATTATATGTAAGCCGGAATCTTCACCTTTCTCCTTATATTCTCTTTCTGCATCAGCAAACAATTTACGAATATTTTCTTCCGACTGACCTATGTACTTGTTCAATATTTCTGGCCCATTAATGACTTTTGGCTCTTGTACATTCAACATTTTTCCAATTTGCCTGGCCATTAATGTTTCCCTGTTCCGGGTGGCCCATGAAGGAGAATTCCTAAAAAAAAATCAAGTTTTAAATATATATATATATATAAAATTAAAAAATGTATTATTTATTCCTTATGTATGTTAAGGTCAATATGTTAGAAACCTTTGACATGTTGTATGCCTAATTTTTCCACCAATTTGGGTGGGAAAATTCTAGAAGCGAATGCACGACGAAATATAGCGCTGAATTCTGAATCCAAACCACCAATTCCCATATCCTCAAATTTAAAATTAGGCAGTATAATGGCTGTTGCACTGATAAAAAAAAATAGAAAATATATTAGATTAACGTTATTTTTTAAACTAGAACTAGAGTGACGACGAGTGGCGATAACCATCACCATTCTTATGATAAACACTTACTAATTTTCTTCCACCGTTTCCTTTGTTCTTTTATTGCTTAAAATAGAAGACATTTTTTATAAAGAATTAGAATGACGACGAGTGAAAACAACCACCACCACCATCCTTAAAACACCTACTATTAATATAGTAATTGTTAAATTTGTTGCTGCTTTGTTCTTTATTATTTTTGCTCATATTGGCAAATAATGATTAAATAATAAATAATAAATATGATTTCATTTGTGCCAATCACATGATTTAATTATAAATAAGATCTGCTTGTACACCTAAAATTTTTTTTTGAATTCAAACGCGTGCGCGTACATACAACAACAATACACACACAACACAAAAGTATAAAGCCTATCTTGGCCTTGGCTTATACACACACAACACACACACAACTCACACACACATGCACACAATACAACAAAAAATAATGGAGGTGATTGAATAATAGCTTAAATCAATTTTTTTAAATTGATTTATTTTTCTAAAGAGAATAAAAGGTGATTGCTGTTGTTCTTTAAATTTGATTTTTTTAAATTGAATTAATTGTTTTTCTAAAAGATGTAACTAAATGCTGCTTGTGAGAAATCCCTTTCGTCATAGTATGATTGAGTGCAGTATAGGTAGACTGTAATAGGTCTCAAATGGTTACTGATTCTCCGTTACTTTACAGAAACTCGCATTTTGTTTGAGATATGATATCTTAGAGTTATGTCTGAGATACATCATGACGATGTCTTAAAGATATAGTTATGTCTGCCATAACTATATCAT